TCATTTATCTATAAGGGTCTAGTATCCGGAATATGTAAAGACTGTTACAATTCAACAGTCCAGATCTGAACTGCCATCTTAATTTCAACCCAATTAAAAATTGGCAAAAGATTTGAGTAGACATTTCTCCAAGAAGACAAACCCTTGGCCAAAAACACATGAAAAGATGCTCAATATCAGTTGTTACGGAAATGCCAAACAAACCCACAATGAGATACTACTTAACATGTACTAGGATGGCTATAATAAAAAAGACAACAATAACAAGTGTTGGAAAGGATATGGAGAAATTAGAACCCTCATACATTGCTGGCGGGTAAAACAAAGCAGCTGCTTTAAAAAAGTTTGGCAATGCTTTAAAAAGTTAAGCAAAGAGTTACCAAATGACCTAGAAATTCCATGCCTAAAAGAAATGTAAAAAAAGGTGTCTAAACAAAAACTTGCATACCGATGTTCACAGCAGTATTTTCATAGAATCAAAGAGGTGAAAACGATCCAAAGGTCCATCAAGTGACGAATGAATAAACAAAATGTGGTGTATCCCATACAATCAAAAAATATTATTTAGCCACAAGGAACAAAGTGCTGGAATATACTACCACATAACTGATTTTTTTTTTTTTTGAGACAGAGTTTCAGTCTTGTTGCCCAGGCTGGAGTGCAGTGGCACGGTCTTGGCTCACAAACTCCTGACCTCAGGTCATCCATCCACCTCCACCTCCCAAAGTGCTGGGTGAGCCACTACTGTGCCCAGCCAACATCGATGAATCTTAAAAACATTATGATCAGTAAAAGAAGTCAGATGGAAAAGACTATATATTGTATAATGTCATTTGTATACAATATCTAGAATAGGCAAATTCATAGAGACAGAAATAAGTGATTGTCAGGGGCTTCAGGGAGGGTAAAATGGGAGTGACTGCTAATTGGTATAGAGTTTCTTTTTGGGGTGATAAAAATGTTCTGCAATTGTATCATGGTGGTAGTTACGACCTTGTGAGTACACAACAAAATGCTAGGCATGGTGGTGTCCTGCATAGTATACAAAAAAATCCCACCTACACAGGAAACTGAGGCAGGAAAATCACTGGAGCCCAGGAGTTCAAGATCAACCTGGGCAATATGTTGAGACTCTGTGTCTTTAAAAAATTTATTTAAACCCTACTGAATTGGTAGGTTAAGCATATCTCAATAAAAGAAGACACAGATTTATAAAAACAGAATTGAAGTTAAGATGGCAGCAGTAAGAAGTGTTAAAAAATTTTGGAAAATGGAAATTAGACATATAACTTATTGTATGAGCAGAAAACAAGGTAAAACTTAAGTGGCTATACTGAATAAAGAGGACAAAAAACAAGCACACCCTCTTATATAACATCAGAAAGGCTTAGGAAGGCCGGGCGTGGTGGCTCACGCCTGTAATCCCAGTACTTTGAAAGGCTGAGGCGGGTGGATCATGAGGTCAGAAGTTCAAGACCAACCAGGCCAAGATGCTGAAACCCCGTCTCAAACAAAAAAAGAAAGAAAGAAAGGCAGGCAGGCAGGCTTAGGAACAGTAGGTATCAGGTACCTCTAAAGGCACAGAAGTAAGTAAAAGTAAAAACAGAAAGTTGAGTTAAAAGACTACATAAGAAGCAGTTATATTTCTAGATCCTTTTGTCAACCTTGTATAGTAAAGTTACTACCCTCCACCCAGGTCTAAAATGAAAGGTTTATTCTCTGTTGAGAAGTTGAATCAGAGAGATGTTGAACTTTGGGAACACCAAGAACAGGTAAAGCCAGAGGTGCCCTACTAAAAACAGGAATATTACATAAAACTACATATTGATCTGTAAGACCCTTCCCTACTCAGCACTTAAACAAGTAGCTTCAAAAACTTAAAAAAAGTTTCTATATAAAAAACACATTAAAAAATCAGAAAGAGGCTGAGCGCAGTGGCTCACGCCTATAATCCCAGCACTTTGGGAGACTGAGGCAGGTGGATCACGAGGTCAAGAGATCAAGACCATCCTGGTCAACATGGTGAAACCCCGTCTCTACTAAAAATACAAAAAATGAGCTGGGCATGGTGGTACATCCGCCTCCTGGGTTCAGGCAATTCTCCTGCCTCAGCCTCCGTCTCAATTTTTTTTTTTTTTTTTAAGACGGTGTTTCGCTCTTGTTACCCAGGCTGGGGTGCAATGGCACCATCTTGGCTCACCGCAACCTCCGCCACCCGGGTTCAAAGGATTCTCCTGCCTCAGCCTCCCGAGTAGCTGGGATTACGGGCATGCGCCACCACGCCCAGCTAATTTTGTATTTTTAGTAGAGATGAGGTTTCTCCATGTTGGGCAGGCTGGTCTCAAACTCCAGACCTCAGGTGATTCACCCACCTCGGCCTCTCAAAGTGCTGAGATTACAGGCATGAGCCACTGTGCCCAGCCAATAAAATCCAATATTTAGGAATTCAAAAAAAATTTTTTAATGGAGTAGAAATTTAAATCATCAAATCTTCCGTAGTAGATGAATTTTTTATATTAACTTGACTGGGCTAAGGGATGCCCAGATAGCTGGTAAAACATAATTTCTGGTTGTGTTTGTGAGAGACTTTCTGGCACAGACTAGCATTTGAATGAGTAGATTGAGTAAAGATTCACCCTCACCTGTGGGTGGGTACCATCTAGTCCAGTCAGGGCCCACACAGAACAAAAAGGCAGAGGGGAAAGTCAAATTATCTCTCTGATCTTGCCCTGGGAAACCAAGGCTTCTTATTCTCAGGCTTTCAGACTCTGGAACTTACACTGTGACACTGCTCCTCCTCACCCCTACCTTCTCAAGCCTATGAACTCTGAATTACACCACTGGGTTTCCTGGTTCTCCACCTTGCGGGCACAAATGGTGAGACTTCTCAGCCTCTATAGTCATGTGAGCCAATTCCCATAATAAATCTATACAGTTGACCCTTTAACAAAGTGGGGCATAGGTATGGTGGCTCATGCCTGTAACCCCAGCACTTTGGGAGGTCAAGGAGGGAGGAATGCTTGAACCCAGGAGTTGAAGACCAGCCTGGACAATATAGTGAGACTCTATCTCTATAAAAAGTAAAGAAAAGAAAAAATATCCACATATAACTTAGGATTCCCCGAAACCAATAGGTGATATTTGACTGGAAGCCTTACCAATAACATAAACAGTCAATTAGCACATATTTTGTATATGTATTATATGTTACATTCTTAAAGTAAGCTAGGGAAAAGAAAATGTTATTAAGAAAATTATGGAGCCAGGCATGGTGGCTCACACCTGTAATCCCAACACTGTGGGAGGTCAAGGCAGGAGAATCACTTGATGCCAGGAGTTCAAGACCATCCTGGACAACAAAGCAAGATCCCATCTCTATAATAATATTAATAACAATTTAAAAATTAAAAAAAGAAAATCATGAGTAAGAGACAATATATTTACTATTCATTAAGCAGAATTAGATCATTCATTATAAAGGTCTTCATACACTGAATAGGCTGAGGAGGTAGAAATGGAGGGCATTTCCAGGAGTGCCCAACTTGGAAATTTTTTTTAAAGAGAAAAAAAAGAAAAGAAGAAAAAGAAATGGAGGGGGTTGATCTTGCTGTCTCAGGGGTGGCAGAAGAAAATCTGTGTATAAGTGGACCACACAATTCAAATCCGTGTTGTTCCAGGATCAGCTGTAGATATATAGATAGATAGATATAGATATAGATATAGATATAGATATAGATATAGATATAGATATAGATATAGATATAGATAGATATGTATCTAGGTATTTACATATCCTATTACTTCAGTTTTTCTAGGGAACCCTGGCTAATACAATAGATATTTTTGATATTCAACAAAAGGACTGAAAAGGTTAAGGATATTCATACAACATATAACAATCAAAAATGAAAAGAAAAGACAAAAACAAGAAAAATTAGGGCAGAAATCCATAAAGTCCAACACCTAAGTAACAACAGTTTCAGAGATAAAACAGAGATGAGACAATATTAAACACACAATTCAAGGAAACTTCTCAGAACTGATGTACATTAATTTCTACCTTGAAAGGATCTCAAGACAATGAAAGAAGAACCACACCAATGTATAACTACATGAAATATCACAAATGAGAATGGCATTAGATCACTCAATGGCAACACAGAAAGCTAAAAGATAGGGGAGAAATGTCTTAAAAATTCTAAGGGAAAATGATCTCCAACACAAAATTTTATACCTGTCTAAAGTATCAATCAAGTGTAAGGGTAGTATAAAATCGTTTTCAGAAACAGACAATTCCCCAAAATTTTACTTTGCATGTACCCTTTCTCAGAAAGCTACTAGAGGATGCAATCTAATAAAAAGGAGTATGTAAGGAGAAAGGAAGACATAGGCCTTAGAAAACATGCATTATAACTTACTTGAGCAAGACAAGTAATACCCATGGTAAGGATGAAGGATTTATAGAGCAACCAGGCCAGATTGGAGCAGGGGGACCAGTTAGATAAAGGAGTACTTCGTAAAACTTATCTTGAAGAAAAATTGAAACTAAGAGGATGCCTGATGTGACCAAGGTCAAAATAACTGACCTTTAGGTTATAAAGTCTGGGGATGAATCAAGGACAAGACCATAGAAAAGCATGCACACAATGATAGGCTGGACAGGGAAAATGTGGCACATATACAGCATGGAATACTATGCAGCCATAAAAAATGATGAGTTCATGTCCTTTGTAGAGACATGGATGAAGCTGGAAACCATCATTCTCAGCAAACTGACACAAGAGCAGAAAATCAAACACTGCATGTTCTCACTCATAGGCGGGTATTGAACAATGAGAACACATGGACAGAGGGAAGGGAGCATCACACACTGGGGTCTGTGGGGGGGAACTAGGGGAGGGACAGTGGGGGGCGGGGAGTTGGGGAGGGATAACATGGGGAGAAATGCCAGATAGAGGTGATGGGGAGGAAGGCAGCAAACCACATTGCCATGTATGTACCTATGCAACAATCTTGCATGTTCTTCACATGTATCCCAAAACCTAAAACACAATAAAATATATATATTAAAAAAAAAAAAAGAAAAAGAAAACCATGCACAAAAGACAAGGCAATTATTAGTTGCAGGAAAATGAAAAAAAATGTGCAAAAAGGAGAAATGTAATCATAGTATACTATATTATATATTTTTTACATATATGTATATACTGTGTGTATGTATATACATATATATAATTTTCATAGTCATAACAAACACTAAATATTGATTTACCCAAAAAGGATAACAATTTTGTTAGAAGACTAGGAGGAAGGGAAATTGAGTAGTATAAAAGACCTAAATCCTCATCTTCTATAATATAAAGTCATTAAATAATATCTAAAAGAAAAATCAAGAAGAGCAATTTAAGTATGTTATTTTAAAATATGCCGGAAAAAAAACCCTGCTTTTAATGGTAAAAAATCTGAAAATGGTCTCCTCTGAGGAGTAAGACTTAGGGTGAGAACGTTGTGGTGTAGGGTACTGCTGCTTTTTGTTATAACTCTTATAGACCCATTTGATTTTTAAAATTCTATAGTTAAGAAAAATAAACATCAAAGGCTGGGCGCGGTGGCTCACGCCTATAATCCCAGCACTTTGGGAGGCCGAGGCGGATGGATCACGAGGTCAAGAGATCGAGACCATCCTGGTCAACAAGGTGAAACACCGTCTCTACTAAATATACAAAAATTAGCTGGGCATAGTGGCACACGCCTGTAGTCCCAGCTACTTGGGAGGCTGAGGCAGGAGAATTGCTTGAACCCAAGAGGTAGAGGTTGCGGTGAGCCGAGATCGCGCCATTGCACTCCAGCCGGGGCAACAAGAGCAAAACTCCGTCTCAAAAAAAAAAAAAAAAGAGGCCAGGCGCCGTGGCTCACGCCTGAAATCCCAGCACTTTGGGAGGCCGAGGCGGGTAAATCACGAGGTGAAGAGATCAAGACCATCTTAGTCAACATGGTGAAACCCCCTCTCTACTAGAAATACAAAAAAAATTAGCTGGGTATGGTGGCATGTGCCTGTAATCCCAGCTATTTGGGAGGCTGAGGCAGGAGAATTGCCTGAACCCAGGAGGCGGAGGTTGCGGTGAGCCGAGATCGCGTAATTGCACTCCAGCCTGGGTAACAAGAGCGAAACTCCGTCTCAAAAAAAAGAAAAAAGAAAAATAAACATCAAAAACTTGAAATCCAGCAATTCTTTAGACTTTCTTCAATGGAAGAAATAGAATTTTGCATTCTCTGGATGCTCCCTCTTCTTTATTTTTATTTTTATTTACTTATTCCTTTCTTCTCACACACCTCTTTCAGTATTTTATTTTAATGAGACAGAGTCTTACTGTATTGCCCAGGGTGGAGTGCAGTGGCCAATCTCGGCTCACTGCAACCTCTGCATCTGGGGTTCAAGCTATTTTCCTGCCTCAACCTCCTGGGTAGCTGGGATTGTAGCCATGTGTCACCACACCCAGCCAATTTTTATATTTTTAGTAGAAATGGGGTTTCACCATGTTGGCCAGTCTGGTCTCAAACTCCTGACCTCAAGTCATCCACCTGCCTCAGCCTCCTAAAGTGCTGGGATTGCAGGCTTGAGCCACCACGCCCGGTCAGATGCTCCCTCTTCATATGCATTATTTGTGACATCATGTTTTCCTAAAAGAGTTTTTCAACTGTTTCTTCTAATTACTATTTTGTAATGCTTTTGTATTTTTTTATTTTACCAATTTCCATAGTCAACTTTGCTCTTGTTAGCATTCTTAGTTACTTCTTTTCAGTGGATTTCTTTAAGCAGTCTTACTTCACATACTTTAATGCAGCTCAGAATACTTGTACTTGGCTCTAGTCGAGCTATCTTTCTTCTTTCCCACAGTAACTAATACAAACTTTCTTTGCTCTCCTCAAGCCTTTTACTTCTGCTTCCCTAACTCTAAGAAGATAATCTTGATTCCTTACTTCAGACAAAGAAGAGATCATCAGGTAAAGAACACCAACTTCTAGCTCCATTTCTAAGTTTAACCATATCCTTCCTCATCCTTACTTCTTCCTACCTCTGTTGTTCAAATACAATTATGCCACATGAAGTTTTTTTGTTTTTTTGAGACGGAGTTTCGCTGTTGTTACCCAGACTGGAGTGCAATGGCACGGTCTCGGCTCACTGCAACCTCTGCCTTCTGGGTTCAAGCAATTCTCCTGCCTCAGCCTCCTGAGTAGCTGGGACTACAGGTACACACCACCATGCCCAGCTAATTTTTGTATTTTTAGTAGAGACAGGGTTTCACCATGTTGACCAGTATGGTCCTGATCTCTTGACCTCGTGATCCACCCGCCTCAGCCTCCCAAAGTGCTGGGATTATAGGCGTGAGCCACCGTGCCTGGCTGTGAAGCTATTTTAAGACCACCTTAAGATCTGATTTCTCAGCCGGTGCAGTGGCTCACACTTGTAATCCCAGCACTGTGGGCTGAGGCCGGAGGATGACAAGGTCAGGGGATCCGGACCATCCTGGCTAACACGGTGAAACCCCATCTCTACTAAAAATACAAAAATTAGCTAGGCGAGGTGGCATGCACCTCTAGTCCCAGCTACTCGGGGGAGGCTGAGGCAGGAGAATCATTTGAACCCAGGAGGCGGAGGTTGCAGTGAGCCGAGATTGTGCCACTGCACTCCAGCCTGGCAATAGAGCAAGACTCCGTCTCAAAAAAAAAAAAAAAGGATCTGATTTCTCACTTGGAAATTCTTCCTAAATGAGAAAAATTCTTACTCATAATTTGCTTTCAAATATGGTAAAATGTCTGTCAATATTACATGTAATGAAAGGTGACATTATATTGTTTTTGGTTTTTGCTTTTTTTTTTTTTTTGAGATGGAGTCCCACTCTGCCAGAGTGCAGTGGTGTGATCTCGGGTTACTTCAACCTCTGCCTCCCGGGTTCAAGCGATTTTCCTGCCTCAGCCTCCCAAGTAGCTGGGGCTACAGGCCCAGCTAATTTTTTGTATTTTTAGTAGAAATGGTGTTTCACCGTGTTAGCCAAGATGGTCTCCATCTCCTGACCTCATGATCTGTCCGCCTCAGTCTCCCAAAGTACTGGGATTACAGGCATGAACCACCACACCCGGCGACATTATACTGTTTTACAGATGTATAATAAAACATCTATCCATACTTTAGGGTTGATCAATTTTTTTTAGGTCTCAAACATTTTCAAGCATCCCGTAATAGTTTGTAAGTTAGGCACCACACAAACAATGCCTACTGGATAAATATGGTCCTGACTCCCACCTCCAAAATAGCCTTCCTTGCACCTGTGCCTTTAATCCTAAATTTCCTCGAAATTCTAAAAATGTTCCATCAAGTATTCATCATCCTTTCCTTCCCTTGGATCTTCCCTTGCTCCCTGAAAAAGTAGTCCTTTTCCTTTAGCCTAAAAACATACTCAAGTCTTTCCCATCTAAAAACTAAAAACAATAAACTCTCTTTCCTTCTCTTGTTATCACCCCCTCTCCTCCCTTCTCTAATTAGTCAAACTTCTTGAAATGAATCTAGCCTATTCTCAACTCCTTCCTCATTTACTCTTCAATCCAGGAAATCAGGTATCTTACCACACTACTCCATGGAAACCTCCTTTAATTCCACTGACAAACTTAGTCGTCTCACTAAGGTGAACGACTCCTAAGAGTATAGTGATATGGGCTGTGCAGCCCCTATCTTCTTTGACCTCTCTGAGACATCTGGTATCACTGACCACTCCCTCGATCTTGAAACTCTCCACCCTCACGTCCCCAGTGTCTATGGCACTGCCTTTTCCTTATTCTCCTCCTAAATCTCTAACTAATCACCCTCTGGTTTAGGAAGATAAATATCTTTCTTTATTGTAAAACTAGCTCTCCGGAAACAAGATTTTGGTTTCTACAATGGGTCTCTAACTCCCAATAGGAAAAAGAATTATTTAGCAGCAAAGTTACCGCTGACGCCCAGCAACAAACCAATTATAAAGAACTAAAATTACATGTTCTCACTAAGGTGAACGACTCACTAGAGTATAGAAAGGAGCTATTCTGATTATTGGAAATGTTTACAAAGGACAGGAAGTGACACAGAGAAATGACAGGCAACATAAAGTTAAGAAAGAAAATAGCTATTGTAAAAATGGAGCAACTGAGCTCAGAGACAGAGACCAGGGATAAAATGCCTTTGTAATTAAAGAGGCAGAGGTAGGGGAGAAAAAGCCAAATACAGACCAGCACACTTGTGCTTCATCTATGAATAAGGGCAAGAAGCTGCCAACAATACAACCTGCTTTGAGTAGGAGAGATGTCTCCACCATATATACTAGGTATGACACATTCTTCTTTGTGCCGCCCCCAAAAATATGCTGCCATTCTTCTTGCACATGATTGTCCACTAGTCTCAAATTCCCTGCCTCACTGACAGCAGGGGCCTTATATTAAGTTCTCACGTAAGAAATGTGAGCACAAGTTTGCATCATCTTCGGTTTCACTTGCCTAAAAGGTCCTTGCCCTGGATTCACTGCTGCCCCTTTTACTGGCTGGAAATGGTTACAACTGAGGCATCCTTAGAAACCATGTGTTTCAGACAGAATGACTGCTCTGCTGGCTGAAATCGAATGACGACTTCCTAAAGCAGACCCCTGCCTTTCACATCCTAGATTTGGATTAAGTGAGAAACAAAGAAAGTGCTTTCTTGTGTGAGCCATTGCACTGGGAGGGTGGGGGAGTTAAGTGGTGGAGGTTTTAGGGTTTTGTTTTTTTTTTTAATAACAGCAGCTCAGCCCTCACCCTAATAGAGATCAGGAGCATTAAACCACCTGAAGTGCCAAACCTCAGTAGACCTCAACAGCTTACTGACTCAGTATGAAACATTAGTCTGGAGAGAAGGGAATGGTAAGTACCGGTAGGGGAGTGGGGTGCTGTCTTCTTATTAATAGCTATAAATTTGAATTTAACTAACACTGAGTGGCACTTAAACCACTTAATTTTGAAATAGAAGAAACAGAAT